GGCGGTGTGGCTCCTGCTGCTGTTTGCCGCTCATCTGGTGGCTCATCCCGTCACTACTCCCACAGCTGCATCCTGCCTTGCCCTACCCTGCGCAGATCTGGGGGCACATGCTGCCCCCTCCCCCTGTGCCTTCCCAGACAAGTGGTGAGAGCAGCAGTGGAAGTCGCCGGATACCTGGCACACAGTGACAGGAGGTGCCCCACTCCTGGCACCCCCTGCACGAGCTGCAGCTTTGTCCTGCGCCTGCCCTGCCCCAGCTGGGCAGTGCCTATCCCAGCCTGACTCCCTCAGTGCAGGGGGCATTGATCTGCCCCCTCATGGCCCTTCCCTCCCCCTCCCCTTTCACCACAACTAGACTCAGCTGTATTGGAAATTGGATTGGTATCAGGCAATATGCCTCCTTAAAAATAGGCTATTGGTATTGCCCCCAAAATGTCTATCAGTACACCCCTAATTAAAATAATTTTGGTCTCAGAAATAAGTGTTGTTTTTTTTTGTCATAAATTCCTGCTAGTCCCTAATACAACAAAAAAACTATTTTGGGATTGGCTAACTGCAAATGAGTTAGGATAGAACTGTCCAGCTTCCACATTGTCAGGGATCGTATGCTATGTAAGCCATGGGCCACTGGGATACTCCCTCTTTTCAACCTCTTCCTGCTACTTCGCTTGCCCACATGGCTTCCCCCCAGCCCTCCTCTATACTCTGCCATCCCCTTCCAATGTGCTGTGCATAATTCCCTCATGGGGACCTCCCTCACCTCCCCTGCCTGGGTGTGATTTCCGCGCCCCACACCCCTCCGCGCATGGCCTGGACACACCCTCAGCTCCTTCTTTGCCCTGCCGTCAGGAAGCAGCTGCCAGAAGAGGCAGGAGGGAGCCTGGATGCTGCTGCAGCAGCTGGAGCGATGGAGGGAGTGGCAGTTAGGTGAAAGTCCAGAGGCCTTAACTTAATGCAGGCTACTTGCAAGCTGTAAGTTGGACAGCTGAGTTGGGAAGTTGAATATAGTAGACCGGATACTGTCAGGAGTTAAATAGATGCTCTTTTTTGTGATTTTTTAGAAGTTTTAGTTTTGCATTTATGTAAGGGAAAACTAAACCTCAGGACATTTGACGATTGGAAAGCAAAGTGCAACTCTTTCATACTTTTTGTTGGGTTTTTTTGGTGTTTCAAGGTGTTAGTTTGAACATATTATACGGAGACAACAGTTTAACATTCTGCATAAAACCTATCAAAGTCTGTCCTCTTCAACTTATTCATAAGAGGAGGGAAAAGCACTTAAAATGTTAACTGCGTCTGTGTACCCTGAGTGTAATGGGGTGGGGAAGGAGGAGCAAAAATATGTTAGCTTTTTTGGTACTGAATAGTATTCATGGCAGCCAGTGTAGAATGCACTTCAAGCTAAATCATTAAAATAAAATTGGGCTGTCTGCACTCTAGTTTCAAAATGCATTAAAACCAGGTAGCTGACGCATTTAAACTTCTTTATTTTAGTATACTCAAATGCTTCGTAATGGCACGGGGGGGGGGTGTGCGCACTCATACTATCGCTCTCTGAGAATACCAATGTAACAAGCACACAAATTTCACAAAGCTTCTCTTCAATTTGTTCTTTCAGTTAAGCATATAATGTAATTAATCTTTATCTATAGCAATATATCTTGATGTTACTTCACTTTCATATTATAATATACAACATGTTTTTAGATTACAAAGGTTGGTGCTCAGGCATGAGGCAATGTAAATTTTATGGTTGCTATACAAACATACCCATGTGTTTATTCATTTTGTACCTTGAATTAGGCAGGGGTCCTGCAGTCCTCACTTGCACGAAAGTAATGCCTGTGTACAAGGCGGGTGAATTAAGATTGCATGAATGATTTTAAATCTGGCAATTAATTTTTAAGAACTTGACTTTGCAGTGTAACTATTTGTCATTCTTACGTAAGTAATTTCCTATGGTGTTTTTAAGGCCAAATGTAAAATTTGGCTTGTGCATGCTTCCTTGTTACATACCATATGTATGTGTGGGCTTTTCTCTGGTACTTGATGATACACAAATGTAATATTCTTGCTGTTGGGCTCAAAAGTAACCATTTTAGTATCATGATAATCATATTGGAGGGTTACCCACTGTTTCTCTAAAAAATTTTAGGTGTTCATCAGAATAAATCTGGTTAGTAGTAATGATCATTTTTATGATTTTATATTTATGCCATTCTTTAATAGAGAAATTTCATTGAAGAGAAGGTCTGTGCAACAAAAATGTAGCGATGTTAACTACATGTTAAAAATTATGTAGTATGGAAATTGTTTTATTCCTTTGTTTCTTTGGAAAGCACCTACTTACAGAGATTAATCATTTTTTCTTTTGGTTTAGGTGACAAACAGCATGTTTGGTGCTTCAAGAAAGAAGTTTGTAGAGGGGGTCGATGGTGATTACCACGATGAAAACATGTACTACAGCCAGTCTTCGATGTTCCCACATCGGTCAGAAAAAGATGTAAGTTGAGCAAACATAGTTTCGTTCCTCTTAATGGAGTCATCACATAATGGAGATTATGTTTTGCCTCTACAGACTGTGTTTAATGTGCAGATTAATGGTTTTGTCAGGTAGAAATGTTTCATTGAGAAATTTTAGGATAACTTTTATAATAAAAAAGATGGAAGCCATGAGTTATGAAGGTCATGTCAAAAGACATCTGATTTAAACTGCTGGGCTTAGGGGGCTGGGGTGGTGCAGGTGATAGGGCACATGGTTGACAGCCCAGATGTTACAAGTTCGAGGCCATAGCAGAAGTGCTCATGGCGCAGCCCTATGTGTTCTGCTAAATACATTGTTACAAGAAGGAAGGACCACTATGCTTCAACATATTTTTTTGTAAACTGTTTTAGAGATCATTTTAACTGCTTTTAATATTTCAAAAATATTTTTTGTGGATTAAAAAGTAGTTTTAATAGTTTAAATTTGGTTGATCACAGGTCGTCATAATTAGAAATGGCCATCTCACAGCGTATGTATGTAGTAAAGATGGATTGGTATTGGACGTCAGGCAGTGTTACCTTAGATTAGGTTCAAATTCAGCCCAAAATTTGAGGAAAGAACAAAATAATTTGGTGACATTATTTAAAAAAAAAAAATTTTTGAATGCTGAATCTGTTTCGAGTGACTTATTCTCTCCCTGTTGAAGCTGATTTGGTAGGTAAAGCACTTGAGGAAGCACAGAATGGAAAATAAATGCATTTTACATCCCTTCATGATTTGATGTATGATAACAGTAAAGTAACTTATTTTTTAGCTGTATTGAAATACCATTTCAAAGCAGCAAGTTTCCTTCTTTCTCTGGCATGCCCCCTTCCCCCCAGTAAAATTGCAAGCTGTTTTAGATATGATGCAATAAGAAAGAAATAAGACAGTGCTTGGTGAAGCTTAGTAAAATTAAGCTTTTTATTACGGTTACCATTTATCCTGTTTTCACTGAGACAGTCTGCTGAAATATGGTCTGTATATGGACTGTACTCCAACACTGAAATGCTGAAATACGGTTACCTACATTTGTATGTTACTAAAGGAATATTTGAGTGGGGTAATTTTGTGCAGGCATTATGACAGGAAGTATATCTTAGAGCAAGGGTAGGCAAAATGTGGCCCGGGGGGGGCCAGATGCGGCCCGTCAGGCCATTCTTCTATCCAGCCTGCAGGGGCCGCTAAAATTTTTAAAAAAAATTAATATTTATCTATCCTGGGTTGCCTGTCATGCGGCCCTCAATGGCTTGCCAAAACTCAGTAAGAGGCCCTCTGCCCAAAATAATTGCTTACCCCAGTCTTAGAATGAAACTGAGGTAGGGAGGAGGGTGTGGTCAATTTAGGGTAAGAGTGCCTGATGCCAAGGACAACAAGAAAGCATTTGTCAGAAAAGTGGACAAATAGGATATTGAAGCTTGCAAAGATGACAGGAGATAATGGCGCCATGACAACATTCAATGGAAAAACAATTTCCAGTAGGTTTACCAAGTATTAATTCTTAATTCCTACTAACGGGTACCTGGGCATCTTTGGCCTATGACTTTGCTCATTAGCACTGTGGCTTTTCCAGATTTGGGCTCATGATATCCTTAACTAGCATATACTGTGGTACATAATTGATGCTAGGCCATGTAATTATGTTGTGATGAAGGGGTACACATTTAAAAACCACCAGGGCTAGGAACAGAAATTACACCTAAACTGGGTAAGTGATCGGAAACAGGTTCAAATCTGTAACGCAACAAAAGTTCAGTGCACGTAAACTGCTTTCAGAATGGCTGAAACCAATTTAAGATAATCTTGGGTGAATGTAGTATCAGACTTAACTGATTTAGGTCAAACCAGTTTATTGAAGTTCTGTCCTAGGTCCCATCCAGTTTCAAGTTTAACTCATTGTCCCCCAGCATCCCAGGATGCTTTGTACCTCCCCTACAGCCCCCCCTGTAATGCTTAAAAATATTTCCTATTGGATTTCGGTGAGAATAACCCCTGAAGATAGTTCTTAGCATGTCTTTGTCATTTGAATGGGAAAATATTTCCGAATTTTTTGTTTTAATAGGCAAAATGAGCTAACTTTTAAAGGAATTCCAAATGGGCAAGTCTTATTCAGCATTGTAAGCATAATAGGGAAATGTTCAACATTTTGGACCTTCTAAGTAGTTACCATTTTCCACAACTACTAAACTATGCTATAAGTAGGAGGGGAAAAAACAGCAGAACTTCTGGGGAGGAGAGGGAGAGAGTTCTGGTTGTATTCCAGTGATCCAGCCAACTATATCATGAGAACAAAAATGAATTGAGGATTAAAGCTAAGTCTACAGAGAAAATATCCATTTCATGGTGTTAGAAATGAGTTTTTGTAGCAAGTGATCTCTTTGGATGGCAGATATCACTAAGAATAGTGGCATATTGAAGTTGTTTTAATTTCTTCATTTGCAGTTTGCTTTATACTGTTGCTTCTCTTGTTACACACATTTAATCTCAGAATGAAAATTCTGTAAAGATAATACCTTAACGGGTATTCTTCGAAGATAATATTGGTGCAATTTGTCTGAGATTCAACTCATATTCCTACTTCTGAGTAGGGTCAATCCTTGTCTCGAAGTGTCAAATCCTCGTTTCAGTTTCATTCTTAGTTGTTTCAGTAAGATGAAGATTAGCCATGTTCCCAGAAATATAATACTAAATACATGAATACTAAACCTGAGTACAAAATTTAGTATTATGATTTCTAGAAACATGGCTACCTTCATCTTACTGAAACACTAAGAATGGAATTGAGACAATGATTTGGCACTTCTCTGAGGCAGGCAAATGGCTTCATAGAATACCCATTAGGATATTATCTTTACAGAGTTTTCATTCTGAGATGAAATGTGTGCAACAAGAGAAGCCACAGTATAAGCATAAAGGTTTAGGGGACTAAATAAACTGATTGATTGTTTTTGTCCATTCAAAGGTAGAGGTAGTATTATGGTATAGTGGGATATGAAAGAAATTTTTTAAACTTAATTTTTATTTTTTGACAGCAGTCAAAAATAGGTGCAAGAGGGTTGTGCAAAATTTAAAAGGTGATTTAGAATGCCTTTTCCTTGTCTCCTTCCTGTTCCAGCAAGACATCTATACTTTTTGGAGACCGGATTGGATACTCTAACAATTTTAGCCTTCATCATTAGTGTGTGCATGCACATGTGTGTACACTAGGGCTGTGTGAAGCTTTGGTTGCTGATTTTGATTCAGAGGAGATTTGATCCAACTTGGTGGCTGAATCTGAATCAAATTGGGAGACCAATTAAAAGGTCCAAATCAATTCAAAGCCTCCAAATAGATTCAGAGAAGATTTGGAGATTCAGGCAGTCCCTGCTTGTTGCAGCTGGGAGCTGGACCTGGGCTCCGTGCCAGTAAGTTGAGGGTGGGGGAGGGGAGGCTGGAGGAGGGAGTGTACCATGGGGGGACCCTTGCCAGGTCCCATCTCCTACCTTCTCCCCCAGGCCTCCTGCGCATCCCTGACCCCTGCCCGCTCTCCTAGCCTTGTTGATAGCTGCTCTGCTTGGCTCCAGCATTCTGGCACTTAAAAATGTTCTGCGCTTACCGGCTGCTGCAATGGTTGTCAGGGCTCTGTGGGCATGTGGTAGAGCCCCCCAACGCAGCACAGGACAGTGGGGGGCAACGGGGATTTGCCCCCCCTCCCCACCTGGCAGGAGCTGGTGAGTGCGGGGCTTTTTTTAAAGAGCCAGGACACTGGGGCCAGGCAAGGCAGCCATTGACAGGGCTAGAAAAGCAGGTGGGGGATGGGGCTTGTTCAGTTCAGAGATTCAGCCACCGCTGAATCTCTGAATCAGACTTGGCCAAATTGATTTGGGACAGTGATTCGAATTGCCGAATTGAATCACAGTTCCCCGAATTGGCCGAATCCAAAGCGAATACTAGTGGCCTAGTGCACACGTGTATGTATATTTGTATGCACTTTGTATAGAGCAGAGGTCTGCAACAGTTTCTGGCAACAGGCCAGAATGATCCATCTCTGGTCCAAGGAAGGCTGGTGCTAGGACCCAGCTGTTGCAGCTGCTACTCCTTGCTTCTCCCTGCCACTTGGTTGTGTTTTGAGACTGGAAAGCTCCAGTGCAGTGCAGGTGAAGCCCCTGCTGCCAAAACCACAGCTCCATAGGCTGGATCCAGTGGTTTTCTAAGCTATAGGTTGCTGAACCAAGATATAAACTATCAACAACCAGGCCCCTGTCTGGCTTTAGTAAAAGTGTCCTAGAGCCCTTTTGAGTCGTTTCACATCCATTTTATTTTCTGTCTCAGTCTAATTTTCTTGTGGCTTGCTGTTTAGACTAACCTTGGCCCCATAAGGCTTTTTGTAGTGATACAGTTAGATCAGTCTCTACAGAAGGGGAACCAACAGCAGCAAGTAATTCAAGAGACTTTAAGAATGTTAGAGACCATCAGTTTAGGCAGGTTACAAGGTATTAGTTTTCATCTAATTTCTTATTATGGAGCCTCATTCTCAACGACCAGAATGGAAATCACATACTTGGAATGAAAAACAACCGTATAATGCTTGGTTGTTCACTAGCGACCCCAGTTCAATGACCCCAGTATTTTTTTTTGTATTTTGTTTTGTTTTTTGTCAGAATATTTTAGGTTTATTGGGTCAGACTTGATTCCAGGCATTCCACTCTTCTGCTGAGCACCTGCCTTTTTTGGAGGCAGTAGATCTTCATTCTTTTTAACAGTTGTCTGAGATGGTCCTGTGGTTTTCAGGAAAAAGGAAAAGGACACAGCCATGAACGCAGCTTTTATGCGTTCTGCTAAAGGTGGGTCTCCACTTTACTCGGAAAGAAAGTCTTGGCCAAGAAATTATAATAAAGGTGTTAAGGAACTTCTGTTAACTTGGGATTTTTTTTACACAAAGATTATACTACTTTGAGTTAATAATTTAGGCTGCAGACAGAAGTGAGGCTCCCTGCTGT